TGTCTGGTTTTGATAATTCTGGCCTCATAGAATGAATTTGGAAGTTTTTCTTCCTTTTCCATTTTTTGGAATAGTTTGAGAAGAATGGGTAGTAACTGTTGGGTAGAATTTGCTACTTCTACCTTGTGGAGCCATCTGGCCCTGGACTTTTGTTTATTGGGAGTTTTTTGATTACTGATTCAATTTCTTTGCAGGTTATCAGTGTGTTCAAATTTCTTCCTGTTTCAGTTTTGATAGTTTATATGTTTGTAGGAACTTAGCCATTTCTTCCAGGTTGTCCAATTTGTTGGCATATAGTTTTTCATAATTGTTCTCATAATTGTTCATATTTCTGTGGCATTGGTTGTTATTTCTGCTCTCTCATTTGTGATTTTATTTATTTGGGTCCTTTCTCTTTTCTTTTTGTTAAGTCTGACTAGAGGTTTATCAATTTCATTAATATTTTCAAACAGTCAGCTCCTGGATTCATTGATCTATTCTATTGGCTTTTTAGTTTGTATTATTATTATTTTTTTGCTCTAATTTATTATTATCTTCCTTCTGCTGGCTTTGGGCTTCATTTATTGTTCTTTTTCTTGCTACTTGAGGTATAAGGTTAGGTTGTATATTTGAGATTTTTTCTTGCTTCTTAAGGTAGGCCTCTTCATTGTATACTTCTCTCTTAGGGCCACTTTTGCTGAATCCCAAAGGTTTTGGACTGTTATGTTTTCATTTTCAATTGTTTCTATGTATTTTTTTAAATTTCTTCCTTGATTTACTAGTTGATCCATTCATTGTTTAGTAGCATGTTGTTTAACCTTTATGTATTTGTGGTCTTTCCAAATTTTTCTGGTGGTTGCCTTCTAGATTCATAGCATTGTGGTCAGAAAAGGTCCATGGTATGATTTCAACCTTTTTGTATTTGTTGAAGCCTGATTTGTGACCCAGTATGTGATCTATTATGAAGAATGTTCCATGTGCACTTGAGAAGAATGTGCATTCTGCTATTTTAGGATGGAATGTTCTGAATATATCTGTTAAGTCCATCTGGTACAGTGTGCCATTCAAAGCCATTGTTTTCTTGTTTAGATGATCTGTCCATTGATGTAAGTGGGTTGTTAAAGTCCCCTACTATTATTTTGTGTTATTATCAATTAGTTCCTTTATATTTGTTATTAATTGTTTTATATATTTGGATGCTCCTTTGTTGGATGCATAAATATTTATAATTGTTATATTTTCTTGTTGGATTGCCCCCTTTTTGATTATATAATGCCCTTCTTTGTTTCTTTTTACAGTCTGTTTTAAAGTCTCATTTGTCCATTATAAGTATTGCTACTCTGGCTTTCTTTTCACATCATTTGCATGATAAATGTTTCTCCACCCCCTTACTTTCAATCTGAAGGTGTCTTTAGGTCTAAAATGAGTCTTTTGTAGAGAGCATATAGATTTTTTTTTTTTAATCCATTCTGATACCCTCTGTTTTTTGATTGGAGTGTTTAGTCCATTTACATTCAAAGTAATTATTTATTCATATGTATTTATTGACATTTTATTACTTGTTTTGGCATTGTTTCTGGAGATTTTCTCTGATCCTTTCTTGTCTTTGTCACTTTTGGTCTCTCTTTGCACTCAAAGAATCCCCTTTAATATTTCTTGTGGGCTGGTTTAGTGGTCACAAACTCCTTTAGTTTTTATTTGTCTGGGAATCTCTTTATCTCTCCTCTATTGTGAATGATAACCTTGCTTGAGAGTATTCTTGGCTGCAGATTTTTCCCATTCAGCACTTTGAATATATCATTCCATGCTTTATTTCTTTCTTAATTTTACTCTTCCCTTGTGGTTTGATGGCTTTCTTTAGTGTTATGTTTATATTCCTTTATATTTTTCTTTTGTAAGTTTTTGTTTTGTGGTTACCATGAGATTTACATGTATCATTGTATATATATTATATATTATAGTCTGTTTTAAGTTGATAGCAACTTAAATTTGAACACAATCAAAACTCTACATTTTTATACCACCCATGTTTCATGTTTTTGATGTTTCCTTTTACATCTTTTTATTTTATGTATTTCTTCACTAATTATTATAGTCTTAGTTAATTTTGCTACTTTTGTCTTCTTAGCCTTCTTAGTTGCTTTTTTTTTTAAAGATTTATTTATTTGAGAGAGAGAGGGTGGCAGTGGGGGTAGAGGGAGGGGGAGAAGGAGAGAATCTCAGGAAGACTCCCCACTGAATGTGGAGCCCAACATGGGGCTCAGTCTCACAGCCATGAGATCATGATCTGACCTGAAATCAAGAGTTGGACATTTAACCAACTGAGCCACCAAGGCATCCCCGAAGTTACTTTGTAAGTGGTTAATCCACTGCCTTTGCTATATATTTACCTTTCTGGTAAGATTTTTTACTTTCATTTGTTTTCTTCTTATTAATTAATAATGTCTTTTCTCTCAAGCTTAAAGAAATCTCTGTAATATTTCTTGTAAGACTGGTTTAATAGTGTTGAACTCCTTTGGGTTTTGCTTGTCTGGAAAATTCTTTATCTCTCCTTCAAATCTGGATGATAACTTTGCTGAGTAGAGTATTCTTGATTGGAAGTTTTTTTTTCCTTTCAGTCTTTGAATATGTCATGCTAGTTACTTCTGGCTTGCAAAGTTTCTGTTGAGAAATCTGCTAATAGCCTGTGGAGTTTCCCTTGTACATAACAATTTGTTTTTCTCTTATTGCTTTTAAGATTCTCTCTTTATCTTCAACTTTTGGCATTTTAATTATATTGTGTCTTTGTGTGTTTCATTTCTTTGGGTTCATTTTATTTAGAACTCTCTGGGCTTCTTGAACCTGGATGTCTCTTTTCTTCCCTAGGTTAGGGAAGCTTTAAGCCATTATTTCTTCAAATAAGTTTTCTGCCCCTTTCTCCCTTTTTTTTCCTTCTGGGACTCTATAATGTGAATATTATTTCAGTTGATATTGTTATAGAGATTCCCCTAAATTATCTTTATTTTTAAAAAATTATCTTCATTTTTTAAAATACTTTTCTCTTTTTGCTGCTCTGAATGAATTCCATTGCTTTATCTCCCAGCTTGCTGATTCATACTTCTACTTCATCTAGTGTGTTGTTAAACCTCTCTAATGTATTTTTCAGTTCAGTTATTGTGTTCTTCAACTCTGCTACTTCTGTTTGGTATTTTTTTTATGTTTTCTGTCTTTTTGTTGAAGTTGTCACTGTGCTCATCCATTCTGCTCCCGAGTTTGATGACCATCTTTATGCCTATTTGAATTCTTTATCAGGTAGATTACTTATCTCTGTATAATGATGGCCTTTTCCTGAGATTTTGTCTTATTCTTTTATTTGGCATGTATTTCTTTGTTTCTTCATTTTGCTTGGTTCTCTGTGTTTATTTCTATATATTAGGCAAAACAGCTACCTCTCTCAGTCTTGAATAAGTGGCTTCGTGTAGGTGATGATCCTTCTCATTCAACCTTGCCCTAGCTCTTGGTTGCTTCTGAAACCTTTGTGATTGTCCAAGCTGCCTAATGTATTCTTGATATGCCCTCATTGTTGAGCATATGCCAAGACTTGTCAGTGATGCTAGGGGAGAAATCTCATTTAGCACCTCGTTTCAAGTTTCAAGCTAATTGGAAGCTAGACCCTAAGGCAGTGTCTTTTAAAGTATGCAAATGTATGTATTCCTATGGGGCTGCAAGTATAATCCCTGTTGGTCTCCATACCAGGAGATCTGGAGGTGATAATTGCAAAACTAGGAGCTCCAGTTGAGTGTATAAGCTCCGTTCTGGGAAGTCCTGCTGAGCTGTAGTGAGGTCAGAGTAGTGGACAAGGATAGTGTCTCCCTGCTTATGTTTTCTGGGTGTGTCCCCTTAGCATCTGGATGTGTGCGAAACTGGAAGCCTGTCCCTCAGGCTGAAGCTCTAGGCCAAGTAAATAAACTTTTTCACAGGAAGCCTGTCGTGTTTCAGTTTGCCATCTATGTAGTGTCGTAGGGGTGATGGCCTGCTAAGAGCTGTCTTTTTAATTTTTATAGTCCCATGGAGCTCTGCAACACCTGTCCCCTTGGCCACCCAGGCAGAGCAATCAAGGAGTATCTCCTGTGTGGATGGCATGTGTCCTCTGGCTTTAGCAAGGCAACTGGGAAATGTAATGGGTGAAACATGCTTGCTGGCTTCTGAAAAATAGCTGGAAAATATCTAGTCTGCATGAATGCTCAGGCTTCAGCAGTGCAACAGCAAAGAACCTTATCTGTGCACTAGTGCCAACTTTAACCTTGGAGGAGGAAGATGCTATGACCACTTGTGCTCACCAGACCCAGTCAGGGGACAGGGGAGTGTTGCAACAACCTGCGCTCTCTGGGCTCGCCCCCACTGCTGGTCCCAACAAGGTGGTTATATCCATGTTCATCTCTGTGCCAGCAGGCTAAGTGGCAAGCGCAACAATGGCATCTGCCAGCACCTCCATTTTGGGGACAATCTCAACTATTCCCCACCCCTCCAGCTGATGCCCCAAATTAGCAAATAAATCTCCCTCACGTATAATCTAGATACTTTCAAACTGCATTTTTTTTTTTTTTTTTTACACTAGGTCTTGGGGCAAGTGAGACCACTTGGGAAGCCTCCAAGAGGGGAATCTCAGTTTCCTATAACTCTTTGGGGCCCCTGTACATCAGTCCCATTGGTTTTCCAAGATAGATGTAATGATGGCTCATCTTTCCACTGCTAATCTTAGGGTTCAGGGTGCTCAGTATGGGGTACCAACTCCTCACTACTAAAGAAGAAGTGCCTGTATGCTGAGATCCCTTTTTATTGTGTGTCATTGCATCAGGCATATTTTTTTGTTTTTGTTTTTGTTTTTTTGTTTTCTTTAAACAAGATCTTGTCTCTGCCTCTTCTACCTGTCTCAATGAGGTCCTTCTATTCTTTGTTGTGAAGAGCAGTTCAGCTAGTTTTCAGATCTTTTTTGGAGGGAAATGGTGATCCATATGCAGTTGTAGATTTGGTATATCTGTGGGAGGAAGTTAAATTCAGGATCTTCCTATGCCACCATCTTGGACACCCCCCTCATGATTAGAACTTTTAAGATCTACTCTCTTAGCAACTTTCATGTATACAATACAGTATTATTAACCACAGTCACCACTCTGTACATTACATTCTTAGGACTAATTTATTTTATAACTGAAAGTTTGTACCTTTTGACCACCTTTACTCATTTTAGCCCCTCCTACCACCTACCTCTGGTAACCACTGATTGTTCTCTGTATCTATGCATTCAGTTTGTTTGTTTGCTTACTTGTTTTTTTAGATTCTACATATATGTAAGATCATATGGTATTTTGTCTTTCTTTGACTTATTTCACTTAGCATAATCTCCTCAAGGTCCATGTTGTGACAAATGGAAAGATTTCCTGGTACATTTTCTTATTAAGCCTCTAAAAGAAGTCATGTGAAAAAGACAGAGGACTCATGACTGTTCCCATTTTGCATTTGGAGAACCAAGGCTCAACCATATTGAGCTGACCCAGGCCACTGTGTAATTCTTTACAAGGTATGTTGTGCTTGACTAATTCAAAATGATTTCAGAAACATTAATGTCACTTAAGAAAGACTTCTACATTCTCTCTATGCAACAGATTATCAAGTTCTATCTATGCTTCCTCATATGCTTTTCCACCTGTCAAAATCTTTTATTTCTTAAGACTCAAAGTATATAGTTTTCTTACCTTTCAACCAGAAGGAATTTACCCATTTTGAACCTCCAGTAGCATGTAGTTATCATTTGACCTTTGCTGCATGCTTCCTTCAGTGTGCTTTCTTCTGTATCTGATTTATTGACACTTCTTTGTGACAAATTTGGAAATTATTAATCTTTATATATTTTCAAAGGCTTACCACGGTGTTTTTCCCCATGGTAGTTACTTAAGAAATATTTGTTGAAATAAATGCATAAGATATTTCTCTTTTCTTTTTATTATCTGTCATTGATTCTATACTTTGTGTCCAAACTTAATTTTAGCTACTTGTAAATGCTTTCCCTCTGCCCCATTCAAAGCAATGCTATGTACACTTTGTCATTTAAAAACAAATAAACAAACTAAAACCAAAACCAAATCAAAATAAACTTCTCATGGTTTTGCTTATATTAATTTCTTCTCTTGAGATTCTCTGAAGTTTTCTGACCTAATTCATTTCTCCCTTCCTCAACCTCTTGTATTTACAGCTTGCAATTGTATAGATGCATTTCTATTCTCTATTTTCTGTGGGCACTTAAAGGGCAAGTCAAAAATGATATCTGCCTTACAAATTGATTACTCAAACTAAATAAGATGGCTGTAGAATTCTGTATTATTTTTTGTGTTTTAAAATATCCCCCAGGGGCACCTGGATGACAGTCGGTTGAGTGTCTGACTCTTGGTTTTGGCTCAGGTCATGATCTCGGGGTTGTGGGATAGAGCCCCACATTGAACACCATGCTCAGCGGTGAGTCTGTTTGAGATTCTCTCTCCCTCTGCCCCTGCTTGCATGTGTTCTCTCTCTCTCTCTAAAAGAAGTAAATAAATCTTTAAAAACAAAAAAGAAAAAAAAAATCCCCAATTGCCTACCATAGGACTAGACAAATGGTAGTACACCCCCCCAAAAAAATCTAATTGATTCACATAATTCATTTCCCAGTAAGTCTAGTTTCAAAATTACATTGTGCTACACAGATATTTTCCTTTATGTGTTTTTTTTTTTCTATCTTATTGCAAAGCAGTTTCCATTCATTTTTTAAAATATTTAACACATCAGTTTATTGACTTTTGTTTTATTTCCTGACCAGACTGGAACCATTTGGACTATAAATTGTGTTGTAAATCTGATATTATTAGATTTCCTATCGCAAAATTACATTGTCCTCATGTTCTAAATAGGTTAGCTATTTCAACCATTTCTAGTTGTCTTCTGAGAGATCATGACCATATATATGCTGAGAAATTTGCTTTATAATTCCTAAAAAAAAAAGAAAATAGATTGACTTTGCAGTGTTTTAATATGGCCTTCAATTGATAAAGCTTGATATCAAATTTCCTTACTGAAATGAAACATGCCAATATTTTTAGACACTTAAAATATTCAATGGGAAGGCATTGATTTTTGTGTAATACTCTCCTCTAATTTCCCTTCTGAGTTGTTCTTAATGTCTTCCACACTGTCTGACACATAGTGGGTTTTCATGAAATGCTGCTAGAATAAGTACAAGATTGTATAGATGAGAGCTTTAATATTTGCACAGATTTTCTGTTTATTCGTGATTTTCTGATTTATGAGTTTATAATGCATTCGGAGGGAAAAATATTCTAGTAATCTCCAAGTGAGATTCATGGAACAGTGGTTTTATAATAAACTGATAAACTGATAGATGATACTTAAAATAAAAAAAAATGGGAGAAAGTCTATGGAAAATAGTATGAGAAATCCCAAGTTAAAATTAAACATTTTCTTTTATTACAGCAGGACTTCTCATGACTTTAATATGCTAATCTGCATTAGAAATCCCCAGTGTAGTATGCAGCATTACCCAAATTTGCTTAATTCCAGTATTATCAGGGCTCTTGATTTTAAGTTCCAGAAACACAACTCAGAATGCCTTGACTTAAAAATGGAATTGATCTGCTAATGTGACTAAAATATCCAGGGGTAGATTGGTCTCAGGTATACATGGCTACATAGAGTATTCCCATAAATCATCAGAAATAGGTCTCTTCATCTGCTTTCCTCTGGGGTAAGTTTATTATCAAATAGGATCTCCCAGTGAGGAGACAAGGATGGTCACTGCAACTTTATTTTTTTTTTATAGTTTTAAAAATATTTTTATTTATTTATGTATGTATGTATTTATGTATGTATTTATTTATTTAAGAGAGAGAGCAGAGCGAGTGAGATAGAACACAAATGTAGCGGGGGGGCAGAGGAAGAGGGAGAAGCAGGCTCCCCACTGAGCAGGGAACTTGATGCAGGACTCCATCCCAGGACCCTGGCATCATGACCTGAGCCAAAGGCAGCAGTTTAACCAACTGAGCCACCCAGGCGCCCCAGCCACTGCAACTTTAGTCTTATGTTCTATCATTTTAGCAACCACAGCTCAAAGATAGCCATTCTTTCCTAATAATTACAGGAAAATTCCACTTGTGTAAAAGCTCTTCCAAAGAAGGAATTTTTCTGTTTGCTTCCAAATATATTTGCAGCTGCCAGAATGGTTCCTATTTTGTAGTTGGTGCTCAATAAATTTACTTGACTTGCACCACATTGTGCTACACAGGTATTTTCCTTTATGTGTTTTTTTTTTCTATCTTATTGCAAAGCAGTAACAGCCAACTGCTGTAAACAGGAGCATGGAATGCTCCAAACACCCAGACTGGACCATGTGTCCGGTTCTGGAGTGGAGGAGAAAAGAGGTTGGACCCACCTGAACCACATGAACTGAGAGTAGAGGAGAAAAAAGAAAGGAAGGAAGGAAAGGAAAAGAAAGAAGGAAGGGAGGAGGAAAGGAAGGAAGGGAAGAAGTGACTATCAAATAAAGAAATATGTGCTCATATGTTAATGGAAAGATTCTTCCTTATTTTACCAGCAATCTTCTGGATATCTATATCATATGCAGATAATACATCTTAGTTCCAGCCTTGAAGTTTGATTTTATCCTACTTCTGACTAATGTGTTATCATGTTATTGTTCGATGGTTGCTGGCAGAAGAAATGAGGCTCCTTTGTCAGAGACAAGGGTTTTATTACTTATGGTACAGCAGGCAGCATGAGCATCATATGTCTGCATCAATTTCCCTTGCCCCAAGTCTCATGCAGTATGGGGCCGATGGATGCCTCACATATGGTGGGTTTGCATCACACCTGGGAAATAGTAACTTGGGAGAATTCACTACTTTTATAGCAAGCAGTAAGCAAGTCTGTCCTTTGGGACAAATGTTACTTCATCCCCTAAGATTGCTCATTGCAAACATGACCCTGATAAAGAGCACTGTGTAAAGAGTAGTATAGCCTTTTTGTTCCTGGCACACTGAGCAAGATGTATAGAAGCATGAGAAATACACGAAGGACTGTCTGCCAACACTTACCTTGAAAATATTACTTTAATCCCATTTCAGCCAGGTGAGAAGGTGAACAGAAAGTTTTAGAGTTGGCAGGGCTTTGTATCATTTCTGAAGTCATGTCACATAGGCAATTGCCTCCCCTGTGGAGCTATACTCATACCAGGAGCATAAATTCTAATTCAGGGAAAGTGTGCATATGCTTTGGGGACATTGGGTTTTATGGGGAAAAGGAGACAATATCTTTACTTTTTATGACTGTAGAATATGATTTCTTTGGTATGAAAAAGAGGATAAATGAGATTATTTGGGTTTTCAGGGAGAGCACTTAGCTATGCTTTCTTTTAATACATTTGATTTCCAATTATTAAGCAATTGCTCAGCATGCTCTGAGAAGAGTCTTCATGAAAATGAAGAGCCCAAAAGGTCTTTAGTGGGCCTTGTTCTAAATCTGGTCTCTGTGGTTGTTTGGCAGTTTATCAAAAGCCACATTAATCCTTATAAATAGTGCTTGATTGTCAAAAGACAGCCCCCTTGTTCCAGCCTTGAGATTGAGCCACGCTTATTATTTTTCTTGACTTCTTGTACACAGGCTGTATGATTACCAAGTGATCATGTGTAAACAAGAGGCTGTTTTGTGCCGATAAATGGATTCCCACTGTTGCACAAGCCCCTAGGAGTCTGCATTAAAAACAAGTTGAGATGCAGAACATTTATTTTAACAGCAGGCACTTATCATTGGTGACATTACCTGATACGACTGATAATCTAAAGCATTATGACTTTGGAGCAAAATTTGGTTCATAAAGACATACAAGGAGATAAACCATGGCTACTAATAGAAATTGCAAGCAATGCTTTGAATAGAATAATCTTATCTACATTCATCATCTGGTTAGGTCTCTCCTCCCACTGAAATGAGACAAAGTAAATTCACAACCCCATTAATGCTAATAGCAGCTTCAGAAGCAAATCCCTTGTTCCTCCATAGGAGAGGATGGCTGCCCCCTCTTGTTTCACTATGCTGTGAACCTGTGTCAGTCCGAGCTAATTGGTGGAAATCTGGGATACAAGCAGTTTGAAATTAATCTTTTGAAATGGTGGCCAATACAGTTGTTGATGATAGCAGCTACTGGCTAAAAAGCAATGACATTTCTCCTTGAGGTGCTGATTCTGGGAGGTTGGTACGAAGCCATCAGTGTTCCTCGGCCAGATTATCTGCTTGCACCCATTTCTACTTCTGGCACTAGCCTGTCAAGATACACTTGGGACAACTAGGGAGGAAGGCTATGGGTAGGGCACGCTGGCATGGGATTCACTGTTTTATGATAGAATACCCCTCTAAGACATATACATTTAACCATTTTTCTACTTTGTGAAGTTGGGCAGGCAGCCTACGATCTCTGCATCCCAATTTCAGCATCTCTAAGATGAACCCTTCTAGTATTTTACTCAGTGTTTTTCCTGAAGGTGAAACATGATAACATAGTTACAGTAATAAAGAGTAAAAATAAGGTACTTAGAGAGGCTCCTACTTGATTTTATTGAGAGATGATTGCCAGGAAGGAGCTGTTGCCTGCTAGATCCAGCTTGCCAGAGGAAGAAGCAAATGACTCTGCATAATACAGGAGAGAGGGGTTTGATACTCTTGTGGAGGGATCAGAAGGGTTGAGGGAGGGGAAAGAGAAGCTGAAACCAGGGTGGTAGAGGAATAATAAGAGAGGAGGCCCTCAGGACACACAGTGGTGTAGCCCATATCTAGCCCTTCATCTGTCCCTATAACATCTTCAATAAAATCTACACTTTTTTTTTAAAATTTTTATTTATTTATTTGTCAGAGAGAGAGAGAGAAAGCACAAGCAGGGGGAGCAGCAGAGGGAGAAGGAGAAGCAGACTCCCTGCTGAACAGGGAGCCCGATGTGGGACTCGATCCCAGGACCCTGGGATCATGACCTGAGCCGAAGGCAGACGCTTAACGACTGAGCCACCCAGGCGTCCCTAAAATCTACACTCTTCACCAAGGCATTTGCATCAGTGATTTGTCTGGAACAAAGTCTTGGTGCTGAGTATTGCAAGCAGGTTAGCTCAAGAGGGTACAAGATTCTCATTGTTTACAGGATGTTAAAGCAGAAAGTTTGAGATGAGGCACCCAGACAGCCAAGAGCTAGGAAATTCCTAGTGAAATGCCCAACCAAAATGCAGATTTTCAAAGAAAATAATGACAGGTAGGAAGGCTCTGACCTTGTAAGAAGGGAGTGAAAGGAAGAAGTGGAGCAAAGAAAGAGGACAATGATGTTGAAGTTAATTACTTCTGTGGAGAGGATCTTCTAAGAGAAAGTTACCCTTTCGGCCCTGCCCTATCCTGTCACTCCTAAATGGGCAGGGGGATGGTGGCTATCA